ATCTCTTTACATTTCTAGCATTGACAGCGTCTATATTCATCTAATATCGCTCAGTGTCGTCAGCACTTGTCTGGATCACCCGCTACTGGGAACCGTTACTTCATGCCTTCCTTGTCTTCCGAGTTTATAAGAAAACTTCTGCCTATCTAGTGACTGTGAGCGGAAACAAGGGGCTTCGGTTCCCCATGCCCCTTCCGTTCATAGAGTCCTTTCTCTAAAACTCAATATTAACCCCTTCCCTAGCGTTTAGATACCGCTCTACTCTCGCCCTGTTCAGGGTTTTTTTTCAATAATAATAATGATGTGTTCTTATTCTGATGATGTACTCAAAACGCTACATAGCTCTGAATTCTTACTTTTAGCCATTAAAGACGGAGAATTACCGCCTGAAAAACGAAAACCGCTGTTCCTGAGGCTGTTCCGGTGGACAACGTAAGTAACCTCTGCATGGAAAATTTAGATCTGATCAATTCGCGTGGATCCTACTCTTTACCAAGTTTCGTATAAATTTCGCGATGGAAACGGGAATTCTTTACAGGTGGCCAGATCGAGGGGTTCCCGACCACCATTCCTGCCGAATACCTCTTCATCTTCTTGATAGGTACGCTTTGTCCTTCAAACTCTTCTGTTTTCCAGTCTTGCGAAAGGTTATGAACTCTTGTTAACAAAGTTTATTTCTCATTGTTTTATTGCGCTGTCTTTTCTTTTTTTACTTACAATTACCAGTGATTAATTTTGTAGGGTTCGGCACGCTCCATGCGTAGTTCACTGCTCAGCCGGTATTGGTCGGACGGGAAGCATCATAGCGTTGGAGTTGGCACTTCAAAAAGTCGTAGTTGGTAGCAAGATCGACTTTGAACAGGTAATAGCTACAGCTTACCCTAGGTTAGGTTACTCTAAGGATCTAGTTTACTCTGATCTAGGTTCAACGGCTAAGACTCGCGGGTCTTTGCTTTTTTCTTCAGTAATTTCCCTAGGCATTAACGACTAACCAGTCTCATGGTAGCTGAGCGAAATGGAAGCGCTAGTTTCGAAGTAATAGAAACTTAAGTACACTCTAGTTCGGTGCGGACAGTTGGGCGTGTCAGTATGAGTGTGTCACCCCATCAAAGCAGTTCTCTGCCTTCTTGTGCATGCGACAAAAAGTGGTAGAAAACGAGTAATACGAACGATATGATACAGTCATATCATTTGCTCGCTTTAAAACTGGTGGAGAACGGGTTTGGCACCGCGCCAAACTCATCCCGCCTGACACGCCCAACCGTCCGCAACGAACTACACTATAAAGCAGTGATGGTGGGGCGGCCATGGCACGTTTCACGTTGGGGATTACCAATGAGGGAGGTCGTATGCGGTCGCTGGAGAAAAGTAGTATCTGGCTTCCGAGAAAAATTTCGGCTGCTGACTTTTATAAGCCTTTCTCTTTTTACGTGTGCTGTACCCCCTCCCTTCCCCGCTCGACGGCAGTTTTTTTTCTGTTGAACTCCTGGCAAACGTGAGGTGAAATGCTTGGGAGCTGGGGCAACATCGGAAGAGATGAGGAAGTTGAATAGGTAAGATAGGAGGTCGGGAAGGCGATCGTATCAAAGTAGGAATTTTAGGAGAGGAGTCGCATTCCGCGAAAGTTTTCCCCTACAGCAGGACGGACTCTGGTTGCGACAGTTGACACCGCTTAGCACTTGGGGGGGGGGGGGTCAGGTGCTAGATCGGGTCCCATTCAGCTCAGCATGCCTTCCATCCCCCTTGGTTGGATAATTTCTGCAGGAGTGGTAAGATACCTCCTGCTCCCGAAAGTCACGACTGTAAGCGGCAAAGGTGAACCGTCTTCCTCCTTCTCTGATTTCTCTGTCCATCACAGCCGCCTGATGTTATCATTCCTGCACAGTACAGATGTACGGAATCCGCCCACTGTTTCCTGTGAAATAAACTGTATAAAAAATTATGAGCGCGTGAGTAATTGCTTATTTTCAGATCGCTCGCGAATTACGATGTGCCCGGGCGCAGTGTATACAAACGGAAGTGCAATATCTTTACATTCATCGGGTGATGATCGAGAACGCCCTTCTACATATTAATTTGAACGAGTCAACGCGGACAACTGGACAGCGATTTCTACGAGAATATGACGATAAAATGCGAAAATAGGAATGCATATCTTTGGAATTTATTGTTTTCATGGTCTCAGGCCGTATTTTTGTATAAAGAACTGGTACGAAATCTAATTGAATGGTGCAAAAGCCCGTCTCAAAGTGGCTCATTGTTCGTGTTCTAACGAATGTCTGTAATAGTGGCAGGGGTGGTTACATTCCATATCTCGCACAAGGGGAGGGCGTGACTGCGATATTCATTTGAACATCGCGTTTCATTCGTTATTCACGAGATATTTCCATTCGAAGAAGCTGTCATCGTCTTATGCTGGACAAAGGCATAATTACAGCTGTTCTAAGATGGCAACATCCCAACCAACCGTGGCCACCGCCTTTTTCCGATGCAATGCGCACCCTCCCTATCCGCAGGGTGTGCACAGGGTATGCCATAAATGGAGTAACAAAGTAACTGAGGCACAAAAATATAAATTCAAGCCTAGCCGCGGTACTTTCTCAGGACCAATTTTTCTTGGTTCGCGGCAACAGAACAGGCACAAGGTTATCTGTGATTTCGAATTTGATTTATTATCGGTACAAACAATGCCAACTCAAAAATAAGTAGTAAGCGTCGACGGGGTTAGATAAAAATGGTACGATCACACCTCCGTTAATTATGCCTCGCTTATGCCTCGCCCCTAGGTGCGAGACATCATTAACGAGGTGCGAAGCGACCTCATTAAGCAGGGGGAAATCGTGCTCGAGTGCGAAGTGACCTCATTCAATGAGAGATCATTGAGTTATCGAAATCGGAATAAATCGAGTGAAAACTAAACTATCAGGAAATTAAAAAAACGTGAGGCTCACGAACAATTACTTATAAAAATGCTGGGCTACATGGTAAAACTCAACAAAATGGCATTGTGCTTAATTACTGATTGACCGTCAGTGGAAAGCTTATCCATATGGTCTTCCTAGTTATCATGCTATCTAGAATTCGGCATAAATCGATCGGAAACAGCCGCTACGGCTTACGAAGACTTGGAAGTCGCGTGGAAATCTTTGAAAATTACGGAGGGATTCCTTGCATATCGCTAAGATCTCACTGCCTGCTCTTCGGCGGGTTAAATACAGGTAATGACCTTCTGGCCTCGTCTATATTGTCCCCATAACGACTTCTTTATCACTTTGAAAGACCTCTGGCCAATTTAACACTAAGCTACAGCTAGGAAGCATGTAATTCGTTTATTTGAGCAACTTTTGTGTTATCATGTACTCTAGTACTAATCTACCGTTCTTACACTATGCTGATTCCCGTTCTTATGTGTATGAAACCTTTCCAGGTTCCTGAGACATCGGCCCCACTCTGTTATATAACACACCACCCTATTTTTGTATGTAACACCGCCACCCAATTTTTCCCCGGCACCAGCACCTTCGTACGACGTAGGGCTTGCACCACCACATAGTTTCCCCCCGCGCCGGCACCTTTCTACTACGTCGCTCGGCGGATGTCCAACAACACCGTTATCCCTGTACCAGAAACTTCTTACTACGTGGAGCCCTTCTCTCCATACACTTTTTCCACCTCCCGGGCAACTTCCTCTTCAGCAACACCCTCGTTTTACGTGGATCACGTTCTACCGCACACTACCCCCCTCCACACCACATCTTCCAGTTCCTGCCCTCATTATTATCACTAATTATTGATAATAATTTGTACACTTGTTCTTGTTTAAGTAATAATAATAATAATAATAATAAATATATGAAATATATGGCAATCTTTTTACCCACTTTACCGAAATCTTGCAGATGGACTTTATTTCCGGGGGGATTGGGTGCTCTAATAGCTTTCCTTGAAGTGAGCGTCAGGCGCAGTTAGAGCACGACTTGGTGCCTCGGCCTAATGAGGTCCTTGCACCTCGCCTCGAATCTATGCCTCGAATCAGGCTGCCGAGAAGTCGTTAACGAGGTGCCGATCGTGACATTTTTATCCTACCCCGTTGCGAACCAATATTTCGATAACCCCTGAACAATGGGATGGAGAGAAGAAAAAAGAGGGGGGGGGGTGGGCGCTTCTGGGAGTGGCAGACGATAGATAGCTCAGAAGGGCAGTGGCCGCCACACTGCAAGTTCGGACCAGCTTCAACACGAACTCCGGATACCATCGTAGTAGGTCCGCCAACGTCGCTAGGGGCCAACTCCCATTGCGCAATACCAACAGCAGCGGGGAAAAAAAAAAAAGGGGGGGGGCAACATAAGGGGAACAAGGTTACAAGTGTCAGTCTAGAGAGGAGAATAAGAGGGAGAAAAACGAAACGAAAATCAAACACCAATAAAACGAAACGAAATCAAACACCAATAAAAAAGACTCCAAGCCTAACTTGAAGTTAGCACGATAACTATATCTTGATTTTGTTTCTTAAGGGAGATGACAAGTGGACAATTTCAGCCTTATTCGTAATCCAAAAGATTCAACAGAAAGCGAGGTCATGTAATGTGGGCATCAGCCGGACTACGCTTGAGGATGGGCCTTATATGCTCCTGGAAGGACGAAGCTCGCTTCCACCTGAAACATTCACTGTCTCTAAACTGTTCCACAGACAGGGTACAGCATGGGGATGTGCGAAATGGCGGAGTGAGTACGACCACTCGTGAGATACGACCCCCCCCTCCTGCTCTAACTGACAACCAGATGCATGTTCACCACAAATGGCTTCCTGAAATGGAATCGGAATTTCGAAAGCCGGACTATTCTCTAAAATCCAGGCAATAAGAGGCTGTTCAGCTCATTGCAATATGAGGTGAACAACAGCCCTCGCATTTAACTACAATTTTGTCTTTAGGCATTCAAAATAAAACCCATATTCGATGATAACCATGTATATGCAACTTTAAGAAGGAACACAATCGAGACAGCGACTAATGGTGATCATTGATAAGCGAAATTGGTGAAAAAAGTAGCCCCAAGGTCAGCGTGTCACCAGATGTGCATTCAATGAATGGTGACGGGGAAATCATAAAAACATGAACGACACAACAAAGCGAAACATGAAAAAAAAATGCGGAGCCAAATGAAAAAAGGATAACCAGGCGGCAGTAAATCGTTCTATACTTGGCTATTATCGATCGCAAGGCTGCGACCGCTTTCGCTGCAAAAACGTCATTGGAGCGCGGTAACTCGAAAGTCAGCGTTCTGGGGTCTTTTCAGGAGCTTATATCTCTTTTAGGTGCGGAGCTTTTGAGGAATGGTGAGCAGCATGCAACGGCAAAGTTTCTACTGTTGTGTATTCTACCTAGTTGCAAACTGAACAATCCCCCGTTGGTGAAATATTCCGGATGGGTTTTGGATAGGCTAGGGGTAAATCGCGAGCTGGTTTCCATGCTTCACGCGAGGATTGCTTCGTTCAAACGCAATTTCATCAGGATTAAAATCGTCCTGAAACCCCTCCATCTTTTCTCTTTCCAATAAGCTTTACAGTTTTTCTGAAGACCCACTAGTTCAGGAGATATTTTAGATGGGTCACAGACGCGCTACCCTCTGACCCACCCGAAAAATCGACTCCTTCTGTGCCATTGTGAGGATACACCTTCGAAAACTCCAAAACACATATTTCCCTTCAAATGAGTGAAAGAGGAGCTCGGCTATCACTGATCGATTTGGTCCGAG